TGTAATTTGGGCAAGCTGGCCATTAAATCTTAGAATCCAGAAAATTTGAAGTCAAGTCTGAAATTACAATTTAGACAAATTCTTATTTTTAAGACTGTGCGAGCAAACAGAATTAAAGCTAAAGTGGCCCTAGTGCTCCAGTGATTTAAGATATGTATTGTGGAACTGTAACAGCCACGGCTTGTGTCAAAACCCCAATTTCATTCTGAGAACAAAACAGCGTTATGGTTTTAATTACAACAACAAAAACCCCGAGCTGGAATTCTCATGAGACATAGAGAGAGAGAGAGAGAGAGATAGATAGAAGTACTTAAAAAAAAAATTGAATTTCTGAGCTTGTTTGTAGAACTGAATGATTAAACTCGGGAACCCTTTAACTCCCACATGACCTCGGTACCAATACTTTTAGGCTAGCATAAAAAAAAAAAAAACACAAAAAACAAAACCTGATGTCAAAGCATCTCAAAACTTTTAAGTTTAGTGACCAAAAAGATCATGGCAATTATCTGATAAATGAAATTCACCTATACAACCTGAACATGTTCAAAATTTTGAGGTGGTTATCTTGTAAAAGTAAACAATATGTTAGCTTATGTTTCCTTTAGATGTGAAACTGTAGACAGAGAGGCACCTCTGTCATGTGTTACATGACTGGAGGATATGTGGTATTAATTAATAAAAGGCCTTCTGTAACAGTTTAACCTTCATACTATGTGTGAATCAAGCAAATAAACATAGAATGATACAAACCAAACTCTATATGGAGCAATACCGAACAGGCTGTCTGCTGTTGCCAGGTATTTAGTGCCAAGTGACACCAGCTGTATCTCTGAGACCGTCCTTAAAAACCAAACTAACAGTTTGTGCTCAGAAAGTGTATCCACAGCATTTCACACACCATAAGGCACATGCTACTTAAACAGATCTGACTTAACTCCATCTATACATGGTCAGCCTTGCAGAGACCAAGTTAAATATTCACTGTCATTTTAGTTCTGTTTTGGACTCCGCCAACTGCCAAGAAAAATATCTGGCTCCTTATCCATTAAATACTCCACGATGTTACCTAGCTAGCTGTGAACTTTGTCTGGACAGTGGGTTTTTCTGTACAGTCTAACTGGTGGTTACAATAGAGAGTCTGAGGAATAATTCTAAACAAGTTTGAGTAACCTGGGAGTTTGTTTCCACCTTGTCTGCCCAGCTGACTCTTGTGTTTCTACTGTATTATACTCATCCTCTCTTGTCTGTCACTGAAAAATGAACAAAAAAAAATCTTTGAGATTACATCTGTTGTGTCCAATCCAAAATGCTTCCACACATTTTATTCTCTTGGATGCTTTGATATAACAATTAGCCACTTAGTCTTCTACTGGCAAAAAAGAACAGGACCTTTTTATTATTGCCCCATGCTGGCATACAAGGCACAGCTCAGTCTTGCACTGGGTCGGTTACCCACTTGACGGGTATCCGCAAAAATGATGTGTAACAGGTAAAAAATGTTTAAATTATGTCACAGGTATAGGCATGAATGTGGGTGGGCAGTATGTGAAATAGACATAATTTAAATAAATAAAGGTGCAACTTCTTTTAAACATCTAATCCAGCGTAATTTTATCAAGCCTAAATAACCTATTCATTTATTGTGAAGGCACAGCCTTTGACCCCTCAACTCACATCCAGCTAATAGGATGTCACTCAGACATCAACGTAGGCTAGATGTCAGTGTGTCAAACTGGATAACCTAAAAGTGAAAATAGCCATTGGTAAATACAAAACTGTGCACAATACATCATCGAAGGCCAAGTCAGATGTATGGGAGAAATTCTGTGTGGTCATAGACAGTGGGAACAACTTTATCAGTGGCTTTGCTGCTTGCAATAGTGCCAAAAGGTGTTAGCATTTGATAGCCACAAGCTAGGCACTTCCTCAGTAAGGGAACAGCTGCAGAGCCCAAGTGGTGCATCCATTGACAAAAACTTTCCCAAGAACACAACTTTCAAGCACTTTAAAGTAAGTGACTATGTATCTCAGAGTCTATTTTAATTACAGGCCAGGTCGGGTCCGGATTTCATTTAGATACAGTATAACTCTGGGAAATGGCTTGAGTCCGATACAGAGCTTTGAGGGTGCGGGATTTGAAAATGGGCCCCGTGCAGGACTCTGGCACAGCTTATTGTGTTCATTAACTGTGAACAGATCATTTCAGATTAATTTCTCGCCCATGCTGGAACAGTATTTTGAACTTTCAAAATAATCTGCAGCACCCCAGATTTCAGCAATCAACTTCATCAGTAGAAAGCCAAGAATGCTGACCAAAACTAAGCAAAGTACATTAAAAAGAATCCTTTAAAAGCTTTGCCCCACCCTTACTGCTATGCAACATGCAGAACACAGAAAAGCCAAATGAAGTGCACCCATACTTAGCACCTGGGACCAAAGACCACCCAATAGCTGGTGGATCGCTTACACCAGTAGATGCCAGACTTCACCGAAATTTGGGTTTGGTTACTCTTCAAATTTTAGTCACACTTTGTGATAGGCTTTTGTCTGCCCTTTTTACCTGTGGAATATGTAATATACACAAATTGAACCTGTGCATTCAGTCCAGAGAAGCTGGACTTAAGATCTAATGTTTTTAAACAGTTTGAAGGTGTATTATTATTAATATTTGATGTAGGTAGCCTAGAAAATATGTCCTGATCCAGGGTGATCAGGACCTGTAACAGGCCTCATAAAATTTGTTATGATTAGAATGTTAAAAACATGAACCTCCTGGATGGGAGGAGATCTTTGTAGCCATTTTTTAAGGTGAGGACAACAATAGCAGGTGGCTGTAAAGTTATTTGAAAAGTCCCTAAAAATACAGTAGGAGTTCCTCCTCACTCACTGAATATTGACTTGTAGGGGACCTTTCAGTTTGCACCTTCCTGACATGCTTTTCCCACCTTGATAAAATTGCTATTAAGATTAGTAACTTGAAGATGCTTCTTGTAGCACAATTACTGATATGTCCAAATTACAGGACACAGTGATCGGACAGACTTCAACTGTGCAACATCCATTTATCAGGCCAGCGGCCTCATTTTCTTAGCTCCCATCTTTGTAGGTGTGGTGGCAAAGACAGTCCGTGGATGACAACTGAGCCTTCCTGTCACAATATTCACAGACCAGCCTCTGCAGATCATGCACTGGATGAATTTGGGGTCATCAGCTCTGTGTGCCACAATTTATTCTTCCAAAAAACAAAAAACAAAAACAAAAAACAAGTCACTCATTTGCTTCAATCCATCTCTACAAAGTGCAAGTACACGAGTCACACAAAGACTAAAACAAGTGTCAAAGAAAGACTAATAGCTTCAAACAAAGCAGTTCTAAAAGTAAAAAAACAAAAACAAAAAAAAAAACAAAAACAAAACAACAACCATAAATAAGTAAATATCTGCAGGCCTGCCTGTACAGAAAAAGGCAAACAATGACGATAACAAAATAAAAAGAACCTGTATTTAACACCTAAAACCCTTAACACATGCTGGAATGGAAAGTACAGGTGCATATGTATAGAAAAGGTAAAAGGTGTCATTGATAGAACATTTTCAGATGTTTTCAAGACTGACGAAACTCTCCAAACGATCACTGGTCCTTTCAGCAAACAGTGCTGCAGCCCATTATTCAGCAGCTGCAACAGCCAAGGTCCCTGTTTTGAGCTGAGTGGACTATTAAAGCCACATGATCAAAAAAGCTTTAGTGAAAAAAACATCAGAAGCAAAGGAAAAGCTTTGTTGCGAAGATGCTGTGTAACAACTTTGAAGCTTAGAGAAGCCACAAGTACTATACACACTCCTTAGCTCAGTGTAAACCCTGAACAGCAGCTTGGCTTAAGAAACCCCTCTGGTTTAGCTTCCATCATGAAACAACTCTCTTCATCTCTGTGAACAGCTCTTGTGGTTAGTTCAATATGTCAGGCGGTAGCGTTTTCTACTCAATCTACAGGGGATAAACAAAACAAAACAAAAAAACAAACAAACCAAAAAAGCATTTCCTGCTTTCACATAAACATAAAATCCTGTGAAAACAAAGCATCCCAGGAAAAAAAAAACTTTCCAAAGTCTCTAAACCTCACTAATCAACACATCACTTATTAAGTTAGATGAGGCTCTTTAAATGGACTATGAAATCGCTGTCATGTGGCTTCCATCACAAACCAAATTAGTATTTTTCCACCCCAAGAACAGTTCCTGTTGGCCAAACTGTACAGACTCTGGACTTTTCTACTGGAAATTTGCAGTAAGAACCACTTCTCCTGGTTTCACATTCATTCAGAATCTTCATAGATAAAGAGCTATTGCCGTTTCATCACTGGTGTTGGATTCATTTGTAAGAAGGCAAAATACAGTATTTTGTGGAATTTGATCAGCAATATCCCCAAAAAAACAAAAAAGATAAGCAAAAGGTGATGTGTGACTGGGAGAAAGACTGTCTTCTAAAATAGCTACCATGACTTCAAAAGAAACAAAGGACTAAAAGCTCAGCATTTCTAGCATCCGCTAGCTAAGATCTGAAACACGAGAAACAAATGAAAAAGTAAAAGTAGATGTCTTTCAAGTCATCTAATTTTGGGGTTAACCCTTGCTGAGTGACCTCCAGTTCTTGTCAGGAACAGGCAAATGACTGACCTGCCATTTATACCATCAGATGGAAGGCTGCTTCTCCTTCCACAGGCCCCATTCTTCAGTGACTCAAAGTGCAGTTCAGCAGCCTCGCTGATAAACCAGCCTCACCCGTAGAGGAAATGGCGGGATGAGTGGTGCCCAGATCCTGGACTTCTCCTGATGCTTCACCTCTGTCTCCCCTTCATTTTTTCTTCATCTTTTCCTTCCAGCAGGCAAGAAAAATCGTTGTGGTATGGATATTTTTGTGTGTGTCATTCAAGTTGTTTTTTGTTTGTTTTCCCTAATTCAGTTTGGTCTGTCGTTGCAGCTGTTTGCCTGCTGGACAGCTGATTTTTTTTTTTTTTTTTTTTGCCTCCAGTGAGTTAGCCTTCTTCAGGTTGACAGAGGAAGAAAACAGCACATTCTTTGAGACTATGTTTTCATTTTTTTCAGTAATGAATGAATCCACCGCAGGGACACAAGACTTGAGAAGTGACGAGAGATGGACTGGTGGAATCTGTAGCACTTACTTAAATGCTGAAAACTCCCCTGGAAAAATACCAGACAGAGAAAATGTAAGCACCGCTGCAGGAGCCATAGCAATATCAATAATCAGCTGTTAATATCTTTTCATTACTGTTTACTTCAACCAATTCAAATTAAGCCAGCAGTGAAAATGGACATTTATTTTCAGCAGGGTACAGCTTTAATCTTTGTACTTGTTATCAGTGTTTTGTATTTTGCTACATCCCATGTACACTTACTAGAAATGTAAACAATAACGTGTTCTTTACTGTTTGGCTAGCTTCCTGTTTAGATTTATTCTATTTTAAGCACTCAGATACAGTGGCAAGAAGAAGTATGTGAACCTTTTGGAATTTAATGGTTTTCTGCATTAATTTGTCATAAAATGTGACCTGATCTTCATCTAAGTCAAGAGTACTGACGAATATAATGTGGCTAATATAACACAAAAAAATTCTGCTCTTCATGTCTTTATTGAGAACAACCATAAAAACCTCTAGTGGAAAAAGTATGTGAACCCTTGAGTTAATGACCTCAAAAAGCTAATTGGAGTCAGGTGTTAGCATACCTGGAGTCTTGTTAAGAAAATGAGTTTGGAGGTGTGGACTAGAGCTACTTTGACAGATAAAAACCACTCAAACCTTTTGAGTTTGCTCCACACAAGAAGAATATGCTTATGTGAGCCATGCCTCACTAAAAAGAGCTTTCAGAGGATCTATGATCAAGAATTGTTGATTTACATAAAGCTGGAAAGGGTTAAAAAGTGATTTCAATGACTTTAAAAATTCACCAGTCTACAGTTAGGCAAATAATCTACAAATGGAGACACTTTGGGACTGTGGCTACTCTACCAAGAAGTGGGCGCCCAGTCAAAACGACCCCAAGAGCACAACGAAGACTCATCTATGATGTAAAGAAACAACCTTGAGTGACAGCCAAAGATTTGAAGGCACCATTGGACCTGGATAACATCTATGTTCATGAGTCTACAGTACGTAAAACATAGAACAAGCAGGGTATCTATGGCAGGACACCATGAAGGAAGCTGCTGCACGCCTGAAGTTTGTGAAAGAGCACATTGACACTCCACAGTGGTATTGGCAAAATGTTTTGTGGACTGATGAAACTAAGACTGAACTATTTGGAAAGAACACACAGCACTACATCTGGCGTAAACAGGGCACTGCATATCATCATGAAAACATCATCCCAACCGTAAAGTATGGTGGAGCAAACATCATGATTTGGGCCTGTTTTGCTGCATCAGGGCCTGGTCAGCTTGCAGTCATTGAGGGTCAAAGTAGCTCTAGTCCACACCTCCAAACTCATTTTCTTAATAAGACTCCAGGTATCCCAACACCTGACTCCAATTAGCTTTTTTGAGGTCAATAACTCAAGGGTTCACATACTTTTTCCACTAGCACTATGAGGTTTGTATGGTTGTTTTCAATAAAGACATGAAAGATCAGAATTTTTTTTGTGTTGTTATATTAGCACATTATATGTCAGTTCTCTTGACTTAGATGAAGATCAGATCACATTTCATGACAAATTAATGCAGAAAACCATGAAATTCCAAAAGGTTCATATACTTTTTCTTGCCACTGTATCTGAGAAGCTGGACCTAAGAGGTCTTTAAAACCTTCAGTGAGGTTTTGCTGAGCATAAAAACAAGGTTTGGCTATTTTATTGTAATGGTTTCAAAAACAGAAAACTTTTAACACCAAGAATAATGAGCATTTGTTTTGTCCCAGTGTTTGTACTGGCGTCAAGATGGAAAAGCCCTTCCCCTACATATTCAGAGACCAGTAAAGTAGAAACCTCCATAAATAAAATGACTAACTAATTTATAATTATATGTCTTTAGTGTCAGTGAGTCATTATTAACAAAAACCTCATTTTCACCCATTAACCCCCACCACTTCAACTTTGTGTCCAGTAGCTACTGTCAGTGAATTGACTTCCTGGACAGATGTTTCACATTAAAAACCTTCCAACTCCTCAAAAGGGCGTGGTTTGTGGCTTTTTCAGTGGGCTTTGAATGTGAACAAGTTTTTTGACAGTACTTCAACACAATTTAATAAAGGTTTAATCATTTTAAAGATTTAATTTAATGATAATGATGAGGTTAGTGTGCTGTATAGTTAGTATCAAGTGCTCTGCAAATGGATTAAGTTTATGCTAATTCTTGACGCTCTGACGCTGAATGTTTACACTCTCAGTCCAGAGGAATAAAGAAAAATATTTCCCAAGACTCAAAGGACTTTTGGAGGCACTGACTGTCAGGACCAAACGTATTACTAAAACTGAGTTAACATTAGAAACCTAAAAAAAAACAAATGGGGAAAGCTGAAAGGCCAATGAGTGTTCTCACAACTGTAGTAAGACCTGACTGTTGGTGTGTGTTTGAGCTCACCATAGCCCCCTGCCTGGATGGGGGTTTTGGGTGAGGCACAGGCATACAAGCTGAAATCTTCCGTCTGAAAGCCGGCTCGATTCAATGAAGGCTCTGAGGCGCTGCGGTGGATTTTGGGTAATGAGCGAGCCAGCAGCTCGATGGATGCCAAGATCTGCCAGAAAACACAGCCACAAATTCAACTGTCAGAATCAGTTCACAGCTAAACAAAATCAAGAAAAATGTTGAGTGCTGCATTTTAAGCAAATTCAATTATTCACTGATTAGAGTAGCATGTTTCAGTGGAAACAGCGGTAAACCTTGGATTGACAGCAATAGTAAGAGAAGTGAGAGGTGAAGTGGTGAAAAGTTATTTGTGGCCTCACTGGTTTCTCTATAGCTGCATCTCAAATCTCCTAAATGATTGTTCCTCTGTCCTCAATCCTCACTCAACCGGAATGACTTCTGTTCTGAGGAGCAAGGAAGCTGCTAGAGGAGCCATGAGCAAGGGAACAAGAGACCATTCTTTGCAGAAGTCTTTTGTGGATTGACATGCCCCTTTATTGGACACTTTAGATGAAGAATCAGAGGAAAAAATATCTCGTGTTTTTAATGACGCTTTTCCCCGATTCATCTTCCTTCACATTTTTTCCTTGCACTTTATGTGGCCAAGACTAAGAGGCAAAGAGACTTGGACTGCACCCTGTTTTCTACCCTAAAATTTACCCAGTAAAGGGAGGGACTATGGCCTTTGAGCTACTGCATGGCTTTTAATGTGAAATGTTTCAATGACAGTAACTTAAGCCACATACTGTAAGGAAAAACTGCAAAGAAGAAGTGGCTGTAATTTTTCAATAAATGATGATGAAAGAGAAAGTCAAAGCAGGAGTAGTATGACACGACTCTGTTGCATTGATGAAACTGAAAGTATATATTATATAGAATTAATAAAAAAACATGCTAGAAATTTGTTTGCATTAAGGTGCTTAATCATAGGAAAACCGAAATTAAGGCCTGTCTCTAATACAAGCATGTATAAAATAAATCTGGTTCCCTCTGCAGCTGAGGTAAAAAAGTAGAATTAACAATATTCATTCAACTGTGGCATTCTCCTGTTTTTAATGCAACAAGTCATATGCATCTGTCACTTCCCATTATCAGTAGTTATTTTTCACCTGAGGAAAGAGAGGTCGCTCCTCTCTCTTCTTCTTCAGGCAGTCAGCCATCAGTCTCTTCATTGCCTTCGGACAGTTGCTGCGCACCTTACTGAGGTCAGGAGACAGGTAACCTCGACCCACCATAAATATGATCTATGGGAAGAGATGATATGAGTCATCACAATATTAATTTGAAAAGGTAAACCGATTGTTAAGATTTTGTAGAGCTGTCACTCCCAGTAGGACTCAAATATTAGTGTTGCCACTTACTATAGTGCTTATAAACTTTTACACTGTTTTTTGTGTTGATTTCATTATTATATAGTGAAGTCATTAATTTAATTATTTTAAATTAAGTGCATTTAAAATGATCCATGGCTCCATGGCTAGCAGGTTCACCCTCCCTGACCAATTAACCTAGGGCGAACAATGTCTTGATCTTAATTATTATTTAATTATATTTACATTACTTGCTTATTGTTTACATTGTTTCTATCTATTCCCGCCCACATTTTCATATCGGTATTGAAATGTAATAAAGCCTAAATGAAACATTCAGATAAGCATGTACATATTAGTCAACAGCAACTTCATCGTGTCTTTAGTCAAACTTAAATCCTAATAGCATGCTTAGTCACAGTCTCTAAAAGCATTACATTTATGATTATGTATGGATTAAACAAACTTTCAGATATACTGATACATTAGATGCAGCAAGTAAATTAGCGAGCTTTAAATTTTTTTTTTATTGTTTTTGAACTCTGGACAGAACAAGGCTAGCTGTCCACTATGCTTCCTGAGTAAATCTCCCTCTCAGACAGTGGCATCTGCAGAAAACATTTAGTCAGGGGGGCCAGTGAAAATCTTGCGGGGGGGGGGGGAATTTGAATGCATCCTTAGCAAAGAAAAAAAAATCTTCTGTGTGGGCTGATGACACAAATTTCATTTATGTCCAGCACATCATATTTTATATTAGTTGCAAAAATCTTCAATTCCCTGGATCATAACCTGGAACCAAAATTGAATTTCAAATGTCAGATTTCCTTTCTTGAGAATGTTCCATTGAAACTAACTCAAATGTGTCATGTCTTAAATGTATGTCAGATTTGCTTTCAGAAAGGAAGTGAACAAGCTTACGTATTTCCTAAACTACAGACCTTTTTCTTTAGCTATTGTAACTTAACTTACAGAATACTTCCCATGTTTTGATAGTACATGATGGATCCATTCAAAATACAAATTTACAAAATAAATAAATGATAAATATTATTGTGTAGCAGAAAATCGATATTCATGTTTGGGAATCTCTGTAGTGACCGGTGCTGATTATGTGGCAACACATACAGTATGCGAATATAGTGAATATAATGGCACACACTGGTAGGATTGTGCTCACTGGGATTATTCTGGTTTAGATATCACACTGCATAATAACATGGTAGGAAAGCAAAAATCCAGCAACACTTGCAATGGTTTGAGCAACTTTAATAAGGAGACCAATGTGTTTTGCCATGAGGCCTTCGTCAGGTTCTGTAAAAAGCTCACAACGAAAACAGTCTACAAATGTACAGAGTAAACTGTGTTTTGGTTATTATAAGATCTGAGTCGGGTTTCAGTGTGATTTACTGTGTCTTCTTACCTGGTCTCTGTTGTTGATGTTCGAGTAGGGCAGTGCCCCTGACATGAGCTCATATAGCACGATGCCAAAGGCATAGACATCTGACTGGAAGCTGTAGGGATTCTTATCCTGCAGGCGGATCACCTCTGGAGCCTGAGAGAACACAGGTTACATGTTTACATGTCACATGACCCACAGAAAACTAGAGTTATCGCTTAGTGGTTGTATGCCTCAGTTCAAATTCACAATAACGGGACAGACATGAAATCACAGTGACCTTTGACCACCCAAATCTTGTATACAGTATATGTACTACATATTTAGAAACAGATTGCTGTTTGTCTTCCAGTTTTTTTTACTTGTTATTCTGTTTTATTTGGTGCACATTGGGGGCCATTGAGCTGGAGTCAAATTCCTTTGATTTTAACATACTTGGCAATAAAGTTTATGATTGATTATTTGATTGATCTAATCAGTTCATCCTTGAGTCCAAGTCGACATTTGTGCCAAATTTGAAGAAATTCCCATAAGGTGTTCATGAGAATGGGCAGACAACCTGAAAAAATAATGTCAGTTTTTCAAATAACTAGTATGCCAATTTCAGAATCTCATATTTGGGAGTTTGGACTTGGTAAGTTCAAACTCCCAAGAACAGAAGGATTCAGTCCACTGAATGTGCAATTATTACTGTCCATTAGCAGTTATTGGCATCTCTGAAAATGTTGGAGCAAATTTCTAAATTAGCATCTATTCTCTCTCGAAACGTTCTCACTCTGCCCATTTTATCAAGGATTCTTTGGTAGCTGACTTGTGTGGACTTAAAGCAGCCAAGTACCCCAGAGTGCATTCATGTGGACGGCAAAGTAAGAATTTCATTGTACAGGGAAACATGTTTCCTAACTGTGCATATGACAAATAAACACTTTGACCTTGACCTATTCTCAATCTAATTGGTTACTTTCTCGCCTTTAAAAGTATCATAACTTTGTAAAGTGGCATAATCTTAGTCCTGGGACAAAGTAACAGCTTTGAGCCTGGTCCAAAATGTGATAGCTGGCATGCAGTGCATTCTGGGGTACTTGGCTGCTTTAAGTCCACACAAGTCAGCTACCAAAGAATTCTTGATAAAATGGGCAGAGCGAGAACATTTCTGGCTTTCTGATTTGTGCTTGGCTGGATGCAGACTGAACTGCAACAGCACTTGGGCTGTGACCAGTGATGTTTTACAATCCCGCACGAACATAAGTACAGACAAGTACGTAAACTGGAAAACAGCCAGTGTCTACGGTTATCACTGGCAGGGAAGCATAACTACACTCTTCTAGCTGCTGGCCTGAGTGTAGTGAACGCACACCTATTTTATACAGGCTTATAAATAGAAAAGTATCAGGTCGTTTTGTTTAAATCCAGTTCATTTACATTTTAACAAAAAAGGTAAAGAAAAAAATCAATTATGGTCTAAAATATTTCCAAATATGGGCTAGTATTATTATAATTTCATTCTAATTAAATCTAATTATAAATTAAAACTATTGTTTTAATCTAACCTATAACTGTGATGGTAAAAATTACCACATTTGACAGAAAAGGCCCAGAATCTAGAAACTGTATCTCAGATGTAAAAGATTAAAAAATCTTTACATCAAAATTTGAAGAAATTCCCTCAATGTGTTAATGAGATACAGCATTCATGAGAATGGGCCAGAAGAATGGATGGACAGACAACCCAAAAACATAAGGCCTCCAGCCTCGGGTTATTTCCAGCTAGAAGGCATAAAACATGTAAAAAGAAATAAGGAAGGACTTTATTGATCCCACAGTGGGGAAATTCCTGTGCTCCAGCAGCAATAGAGAACAAGTAACAAAACCATAAGGACAAACACCACACACATATCGTGAGAAACAAATTCCAAAGTACCTAGAAACCAGACAAAATATAGTTATTTGAGATACAATCAGGAACAAGACAATCTTCCCACAATTAATCCCTGAGAAACAAATCAAAAATACCTAAGAACAAGACAAAATATAGTATTTGAGAGGAATCAAGAAATTAAGGACAAGAATATTGCTTCCATAATTAATCCCACAATGGGGCAAATACCTGTATTACAGCCATAAGGATCTCTGAAGAACTACTCAAAAACACCTAAAAACAAGACAATATAATGCTCTTGAGAAATATCAAGAACAAGATATTATTTATGTGCATATTTACAATGCATTTCTTCCCCCAGGATTTGAGCATTGCACCTCAGTTGATTATTGCATAGTCCCTCATAATTTCACCTAGTTTATCACTGCAGAAAAAATGTAAGGCTTGTTTAATAAAAACCTAGATAAAGGTTACTTACCATCCACAGTATAGAGCCAGACAGCTGTTCAAACTGGTGTGAGCCACTCCAACGGGACTTGACCGTAGCGAGCCCAAAGTCACCGATCTTCACTGTTAGATCCTCGTGGAGGAAAATATCTGGGAAAAGAGGAGGTCAAGGAAGCACTCTCTTCTTGTATCTGTGCTCTTTGCCCTGCAGGAGTATTGTGATCTAGAGACAGA